AACGTGCTTGGATCCAGATCCATTAAGTACTCGCCTACCGAGGGTCGTCGTCTGTACCATTTGCCACAGAGACAAAAATCGGAAGGCGATTACCTTTGTCGTTCGGACGCCAGTGATCCGATGAGAGCATTGCGTCAAAGTAGCTACCAGGCATACGCAGCAGCGTCTCGCGCGCGGTCGTAAAGAGCGTGCCACCGACGTTGAGTGTGATCGTTTTGGCTGGCTCGCTCGTCGTCGTGTGGTGTTGCTGGTCATTAGACTCAATATGGTCGCGTGGCGCTGGCAGCTTGGAGAGGAGCTCGAGCTGGCCCGCAACACGTGCTTCCTGAAGGCGCAGCGCCGCGTCGCGCGCGGCCAAGGCCGTTGCGATCGCGTGCATCTCGTGCGTGATGTGTGCCAGCGCTTCGGTCGTCTCGGGCGGCGCACTCAGCGCCGCAATGGATGCGTGCAGAGCGGCAAAATCGATCTCATCAAGCTTGTTGCAACACGCGACCATCTTTATTATCGGAAGGAGGAAGGTGATGCTTGTCTGTCCAACACCAGTGCGTGTCTGATTTCCATTCGTTTTCGGAGGTCCTCTTTTTTCATATATTTGGTCCATGACGTGGCAGCGCAGGCGTACAGTGCCGCGACTGGAAAAGGCCAGTGCAGAGCCGATGATCAACGCCTTGTTCGCTCAAGGCCAACAATGCCTTGTGCAGTTGTCGCGCCACTATCGATAACGCGGAAGCAGATCGTTGATAGACGATGTAGGTTATAGGATATGTAGGTTATACAGGCAGTAGCTTGACGGTAGCCCAGCTCGATGCGAAGCGCAGACACGGGTACAAGGTGGCATCTTTCGGTACGTTGTGCAGCCCCGCTGAGAGAGCGACGCCGTCGATAGCAAACGAGATGCGTTCTTGGTCCTTGTGCCACGTCACTTGGAGGAAGATCAAGTTCATCGGCTTCGACGACACGACAGGAATATTGCGGGGCTCGGTCTGCGACCGCACCGTGCCGTTCGAACACCGAAAGAACCAACCAGGCGGCGTCTTGCGCGAGTCCTGTGCAAACGCAACCTTGTGCAAGGGCATAAACCCGACTTCGACATCGCTCCCGAGGCGAACGAGCACTCCAAATGACGTCGCTGGCATCGAGGCAAGCACTTCGCCATCCCCACGCACGGCTTTGTTTGCAACCATGTAGTCGTCTTCGAGTGTGATGGTCTCGGTGCAATGATGCGGGTCCCACTGCAATTGCGGCGTCTCGATCGGCACCCGCGGCGCGGGCGGCGCGGATGATGCTGGCAGCGGCCACTCGATCTGGAGGTAGTCGAGCATCTCTCGCAGCACGTCCTCGTCTGTACTCGAGAGCCCGCTGAGGTTGAGCGTATCGTCGCCGTCGAGAGGCGCTGCCATTGATGCATGCAGCGTCGCGCACCCATGTCGACCATCCCGATCAACTTCCAGCAAGTCGTGACGCGAAATATCTGGATTGCACCAGTCCGTTATCCGGAAATGTCGTGGCAGCTCGACTTGAGAAATGCAGGAGAGCTGAGGCGCAGAGGTGTCCGAGGGACTACAACCATACGGCACGAGTAGTCTTGCCCAACTTGAGCCCACAAACTCAACACTTGAATTCCTGTATTAGCGTCATACCTAGCTATATGGTTGAAAGATAGCTATGCCGTCAACTCCATGGCGTCGCTACACGGGGAGGAGCTTGACAACCGCATTCGCAGCCACGATACGCACGACAGGGTACAACACAGCGTCTGTTGGGACGTGGTGCAAACTGGTGGGCAGGGGGATGCCGTCAATTGCAAAAGAAACGCGCTGCTGCTGCTGATGCAGCGTCGCCTGGAGGAAGATCGGGCGCGGCTTCATATCCACCACGTTGGTCGTGCTCGGCTGGTAATGGGAGCTCAAAGCGCCAGCTGCGCAGTCGAAAAACCACCCGCGGCGGTTGTTTGACAGACGGATGTCGGGCTCTTGAACGAAGTCTTCTAACACTATGAAGCCGACACAGACCTCGCTCCGAAGCGTCACGCGGACGCCAAAGGTCGTCGCTGGCGTCGACGTGAGCACATGATTCCAGCCGTGCTTTTGACTGCGCGCTTGTGTGCCGTCTTCGCCGAGCGTAATGGCCTCGGAGCAGTGCAGCGGGTCCCACTGCAATTGGGTCGTCTCCATGAGCGGCGCGGATGGTGCTGGCAGCGGCCACTCGATCTGGAGGTAGTCGAGCATCTCTCGCAGCTCGTCCTCGTCTGTACTCGAGAGCCCACTGACATCCAGTCTGCCCGATCGAAGGTACTTGATCACACGTTTAAACGTACTCGCGTCCAAGTCCAAAAAGTACTCGCCTACCGAGAATCGTCGTCAGTACCGATTGCCACAGAGAGAAATATGACGTTGAACCTTTCTCATTGGGCAGCCAGTGATCCGATGAGAGCATCGCGTCAAAGTAGCTGCCTGGCATACGCAGCAGCGTCTCGCGCGCGGTCGTAA